TTTTGTCTTCCCATAATGTTGCTGGAGGAGACAGATGGACTCCAGGTTAGGCATTTACATCTAGCCTGTTTACATTTCTTGAGGCAAGAGATGGTTGGGCTCCAGTTGAGCCTTTACAGTCAGTGTCCTGCTTGCCCTGTGAAATGGAAGTAACAACAGAAAGAGGGTAAATAGCCAGTGTCTGTCTCTTATGAACACTTTAGTAGCCATGACAAGGGCAAAGAGGGACAAAAGCCTGCTTGAGTCAAGGATGAAGAGATCTCCCCTCCCCCCACCCCCCTTGTGGGAGAAGGGAAACACTACACAGGCGCAGAGAGGCTCCTTGTGGGTGAAAAGTCCCGCGAAAATGCCAGACCATGATGAGCCTCGCTTCTCCCAGAAGCCTCCACTTGGAGATCCATCTTGGCTGAGGGGTATGTGCACACCAGGGCAGAGGCCCAGGATAGGTCAGATGTGAAGAAAGGAACCAGAAACTTGGCAGGAAGGAAGACAAAGACCCAGAAGAACTGGCCTATATAAAGGACTTCACCACCTCGTGGTTATTGTGCTCCTTGTCACCAGGGGGCGCCCATAACCTTTCTCTCCAGGTGTGTGTCTCTGCTTTGCTTCTGTGGTAACTAGACCAGCTGTTCCTCCGTGTTCTTTCCCACGTGTTGCTGTGCTGTGTCTCTGATAATAGACGTTGTACCTGCATGTAGCGATTCTGCCTCCATGATGAATGCATTTTTCACTGGTCAAAGATCCAGGGAAACTTGGCTTCTAGCCTCTAGCCCTTGCTGGTCTGGTGGCTAGGATTCCTGGTTTTCGTTCAGGCTACCCAGGTTCAGTTCCTGGGCAGCGAATTAGATCTCACTTCACGCCACCACTCACTGCTGCCTCACTGAGATCAACTCAATTTTTATCACCATTTAATCTACATCATATGAATTTTTGCAACTTTTCGTAAAAGGACTTCTTAGGTATTAACATACTGATATTTCCATAAGGGGGAAATACTTCTTCCCTAAAACTGCATTGAGAAGATTTGCACTTAAGAAAGTGTGTTTTACTGTAGCAGAATTATTATTTTGTCTTTACACTCTAGCATTTGTTAAATCCTTAACTGCCAAGAACTGTTCAGGCTTCCCTGGTGGCTCAGCTGGTGAGGAATCCACCTGCAGTGCAGGAGACCTGGGTTCGATCCCTGGGTTGCAAAGACCCCCTGGAGAAGGGAAACGGCTACCCACTCTAGTATTCTGGCCTGGGGAATTCCATGGACTGTACAGTCCATGCGTTTGCAGAGTCAGACATGACAGAGCGACTTTCACTGTTCACCAGCAACGGTTCGGCCTGAGATAAGAACTTTCGAAAATCTTTGAACACAGACGCTCTAACTTATTTTCCCTCTGGGATAAATATTTTGCATTTACTTTTAGGTCATATAGACACAATAGGCAGAGAACTCTCTTATTATGTATTTTATTTGCATGTAAATTAACATCCTAGAAACTTTAAAATAGAAACACTAAATACAGTATTGCACAGAACAATCTCTGTTAAATGCCCCATTATCTCACTGAAGTTCCTATACGCATGCAGGGACTGAAGGAGACAGGAAGATGGCAGAAGAGCAACCCGAGAGCCACTACTGTGTCTGGGCACATCAACTACAGACTGCAAGGTAAGGACAGTATTTTATAGGAATAGAAACATAGTTACAATTCAGATTTCCTTTTTAAGTTGCCTCCTTAATTGGTTTGCAGTAGCAACAGATTCTCCCCTTTTTTCATAGCCATTCCCCAACACATATCATTTTTAAAAATCTATTAATGTTAGACAAAGCCATCACAGTGCTTCAGGAGTGACTTCAAGAAAACTCCAATCAAGTCACAGTACTCAGGCAGGTGGGTTTAATAGCCAAGTCCTAGGTAGATATCAATCCATCTGAAAGTGGGCAGTAATGTTTGAACACATCTAGGATTTCCTTTTAAACACATGCTCCAAGGAAAACAGTACTGAATTGACCAGAGGAACAGTAAAAAGAGGACATCACTGGAAGGGAGTTTACACTGCCAGTCTGGCCCTGTGGTCTGGCGCTGGGGTAGCATCTGCTCGCTTGGCCCCTGTGTCCCTCAGGGAGGTCACGGGCTCAAGAGTGCAGAACAAGTATCATCACTAGGACTGCCCAGAGCTGCTGCGAACATCCAAAAAGTTTCACTTTAAGAGTTCTTTAGAGGGCTTCCCTGGCGATCCAGTGCAGGGGCCTGGGTTCAATCTCTGGTCAGTGAACTAGATCCCATTCACTGCAAGGAAGAGTTTGCACGCCACAATGAAAGATCCCATGTGTGGCAACCAAGACCTGGTGCAGCTTACAAAAGAGAAAAAAGGCACAAAATGTTCTTTAGAAAGTGCTATAAAATGCTATGAATGATTGCTTCTGCTAAGCAAATGGTAAGAAAATATGTGTATTAGTTGCTCAGCGGTGTCCGACTCTTTGTGACTCCATGGACTGTGGCCTTCCCAGTTCCTCTGTCCGTGGAATTCTCTAGGCAAGAATACTGGAAGAGGTGGCCATTCCCTTCTCCAGGCGATCTTCTCAACCCAGGCATGAAACCCAGGTCTCCTGCATTGCAGACAGATTCTTTACCACCTGAGCCACCAGGGAAGCCCAGGAAATACGTCAACCGGAATCCTCTTAATCAAGACAGGGGCCATTAGAGAGAAAATAACTTACTCGGTTAATTTAGTTTTATTATTGCCATTCTCCTTGGGAATTAAAAAGAGGGTACTTCTGGAGAAACTGACAAAGCTGTGATTTATCTTAATAAAAGACTTCTTATGGAGATCTTGAAACCTGTTTCCGGAAAGAAATGAGTTCTAAATATATTTCTTAAGCCTGGTGGCAAAGTTTCTAATGACAGAATTCATCTCCCATGCAGCTCAATGAATCCCTGTTGTTTTTTTTTTCATTTATTTTTATTAGTTGGAGGCTAATGACTTTACAATTTTTTTTGTCATACATTGACATGAATTAGCCATGGATTTACATGTATTTCCCATCCCGATCCCCCCTCCCACCTCCGTCTCGACCCGATCCCTTTGGCTCTTCCCAGTGCACCAGGTCCGAGCACTTGTCTCCTGCATCCAACCTGGGCTGGTGATCTCTTTCACCCTAGATTATATATACATGTTTCGATGCTGTTCTCTTGAAACATCCCACCCGCGCCTTCTCCCACAGAGTCCAAAAGTCTGTTCTATACATCTGTGTGCCTTTTTCTGTTTTGCAAATAGGGTTATCGTTACCATCTTTCTCAATTCCGTGTATATGTGTTAGTATCCTCTAATGGTCTTTATCTTCCTGGCTTACTTCAGTCTGTATAACGGGCTCCAGTTTCATCCATCTCTTTAGAACTGATTCAAATGAATTCTTTTTAATGGCTGAGTAAGATTCCATGGTGTATATGTACCACAGCTGCCTTATCCATTCGTCTGCTGACGGGCATCTAGGTTACTTCCATGTCCTGCCTATTATAAACGGTGCTGCGATGAACATTGGGGTGCACGTGTCTCTTTCAGATCTGGTTTCCTCGGCGTGTATGCCCAGAAGTGGGATTGCTGGATCTTAGGGCAGTTCTTTTTCCAGTTTTTTAAGAAATCTCCACACTGTTTTCCATAGTGGCTGTACTAGTTTGCATTCCCACCAACAGGGTAAGAGGGTTCCCTTTTCTCCACACCCTCTCCAGCATTTATTGCTTGTAGACCATTTGGATAGCAGCCATCCTGACTGGCGTGTAATGGTACCTCATTGTGGTTTTGATTTGCATTTCTCGGATAATGAGTGATGTTGAGCATCTTTTCATGTGTCTTTTAGCCATCTGTATGTCTTCTTGGAGAAATGTCTGGTTAGCTCTTTGGCCCATTTTTTGATTGGGTCATTTATTTTCTGGAGTTGAGCTGGAGGAGTTGCTTGTATATGTTTGAGATTAATCCTTTGTGTGTTGCTTCGTTTGCTGTTATTTTCTCCCAATCTGAGGGCTGTCCTTTCACCTCGCTTATAGTTTCTTTGTCGTGCAAAAGCTTTTAAGTTTCATTAGGTCCCGTTTGTTAATTTTCGCTTTTGTTTCTAATACTCTGGGATCCTGCTCTGATGTATGTCGGAGAGTGTTTTGCCTGTGTTCTCCTCTAGGAGTTTTATGGTTTCTGGTCTTAACATTTAGATCTTTAATCCATTTTGAGTTTATTTCTGTGTATGGTGTTAGAAAGTGTTCTCGTTTCATTCTTTTCCAGGTGGCTGACCAGTTTTCCCAGCACCGCTTGTTAAAGAGGTTGTCTTTTTTTCCACTGTATATCCTTGCCTCGTTTGTCGAAGATAAGGTGACCATAGGTTCGTGGATTTATCTCTGGGCTTTCTGTTCTGTTCCATTAATCTATATTTCTGTCTTTGTGCCAGTACCATACTGTCTTGATGACTGTGGCTTTGTGGTATAGTGTGAAGTCAGGCAGGTTGATTCCTCCAGTTCCATTCTTCTTTCTCAAGATTCCTTTGGCTATTCGAGGTGTTTTGCATTTCCATACAAATTGTGAAATTATTTGCTCTAGTTCTCTGAAAGCTGCCGTTGGTAGCTTGATAGGGATTGCATTGAATCTGTAGATTGCTTTGGGTACTATAGCCATTTTGACAATATTGAGAATCCCTGTTTTTCAACAACGGAATGAATCAAATCATTGAGTGCAGCAGCTCTGAGGTTACTGTTACAGCTCACATTAAGGCAAGATGGATCAAGGTAACTGTTGGTTTGTTTGTTTTTTGAGCCGTTGGTGAAAATCCAGTAGATGCTGTCTTAAATTTACTTAGAACTCTTGAAGGAAGAATTTTAAGGACCTCAGGAAGGTGCTGTGCTTGGCGAGCGGCGGTGCGAGGAGGGGGGCAGAGGTAGGGCGAAGGGGCAGGGCTGAGGCGCTCGGGTGGACCGCGCTGGTGGCTCCCATTGGGTTTGGGCCCCAGGCAGGTGCCGGGCAGGATGGGTGCTCAGGGCCCCGGCTGCGCTCCGCCTATGCCCGAGGGAGGCTCAGAGGACCGTGGGCCGCGGTCCGTGGCGGGCCCGAATCAGACACCTCCGGGGCCACGTGGCCCTGAGCCACGAACGGGAGTGGGCAGGGGGGGCGCCGACAGGGGGCGGGCCTGGAGAGGCCCAGGGCGGGAGGGCGCCGAGACCTCCGCGCCCCTCACCCCAACCCCAAGCCCAGGCATGCACGCCCGACCGGCCGCTCGGGGTCCCGGAAACACTCCGGGCCCCCGGGCCGGGCCAGGTTTGCTGGCCAGGGTTACTGGTGTGCGGGGACGGGGAGGCTTCGGCCGGGCTGCCGGCCCTGGCCGGCGCGCCCCGTGGAAAGGTGCGGCCGGCTGGCTCGACATGGCACATCAGAGCGAAAAGGAGGCGCAGCGCAGGTTTTTAAAGGTGCCTGGCGGCAACCGCCTCTATCTAAGATCATACCACCCTGAACGGGCCAGATGTCTTCTGATCGGGGAAACTAAGCAGGGTTAGTTAGTACTTGGATGGGAGACCCCCTAGTAGTTAGGAGCTCCAGGCTTTTGCACAAAGTAGACGACAAGCCAACGCAGAGGTGATGAAAAGTTTATCGTGAAAAATCCAATTCAACCTGAACTCAAAGATGGTTTATGGCATAAAAGCAAGTGTTTTCCATTAGGTTCCCCCCCACCCCCCATTAACTTGCATAATGGTTGCCATTAGCATAATGCTTAGTTTTTATTCCTTCTTTCCTTGTCTATATCCATCTTTTTGCACCATCATGTGGTGCCTTATTGGCATAATTTTCCGCCTTTTGTCTTCCCATAATGTTGCTGGAGGAGACAGATGGACTCCAGGTTAGGCATTTACATCTAGCCTGTTTACATTTCTTGAGGCAAGAGATGGTTGGGCTCCAGTTGAGCCTTTACAGTCAGTGTCCTGCTTGCCCTGTGAAATGGAAGTAACAACAGAAAGAGGGTAAATAGCCAGTGTCTGTCTCTTATGAACACTTTAGTAGCCATGACAAGGGCAAAGAGGGACAAAACCCTGCTTGAGTCAAGGATGAAGAGATCTCCCCTCCCCCCACCCCCCTTGTGGGAGAAGGGAAACACTACACAGGCGCAGAGAGGCTCCTTGTGGGTGAAAAGTCCCGCGAAAATGCCAGACCATGATGAGCCTCGCTTCTCCCAGAAGCCTCCACTTGGAGATCCATCTTGGCTGAGGGGTATGTGCACACCAGGGCAGAGGCCCAGGATAGGTCAGATGTGAAGAAAGGAACCAGAAACTTGGCAGGAAGGAAGACAAAGACCCAGAAGAACTGGCCTATATAAAGGACTTCACCACCTCGTGGTTATTGTGCTCCTTCTCACCAGGGGGCGCCCATAACCTTTCTCTCCAGGTGTGTGTCTCTGCTTTGCTTCTGTCGGAACTAGACCAGCTGTTCCTCCGTGTTCTTTCCCACGTGTTGCTGTGCTGTGTCTCTGATAATAAACGTTGTACCTGCATGTAGCGATTCTGCCTCCATGATGAATGCATTTTTCACTGGTCAAAGATCCAGGGAAACTTGGCTTCTAGCCTCTAGCCCTTGCTGGTCTGGTGGCTAGGATTCCTGGTTTTCGTTCAGGCTACCCAGGTTCAGTTCCTGGGCAGCGAATTAGATCTCACTTCACGCCACCACTCACTGCTGCCTCACTGAGATCAACTCAATTTTTATCACCATTTAATCTACATCATATGAATTTTTGCAACTTTTCGTAAAAGGACTTCTTAGGTATTAACATACTGATATTTCCATAAGGGGGAAATACTTCTTCCCTAAAACTGCATTGAGAAGATTTGCACTTAAGAAAGTGTGTTTTACTGTAGCAGAATTATTATTTTGTCTTTACACTCTAGCATTTGTTAAATCCTTAACTGCCAAGAACTGTTCAGGCTTCCCTGGTGGCTCAGCTGGTGAGGAATCCACCTGCAGTGCAGGAGACCTGGGTTCGATCCCTGGGTTGCAAAGACCCCCTGGAGAAGGGAAACGGCTACCCACTCTAGTATTCTGGCCTGGGGAATTCCATGGACTGTACAGTCCATGCGTTTGCAGAGTCAGACATGACAGAGCGACTTTCACTGTTCACCAGCAACGGTTCGGCCTGAGATAAGAACTTTCGAAAATCTTTGAACACAGACGCTCTAACTTATTTTCCCTCTGGGATAAATATTTTGCATTTACTTTTAGGTCATATAGACACAATAGGCAGAGAACTCTCTTATTATGTATTTTATTTGCATGTAAATTAACATCCTAGAAACTTTAAAATAGAAACACTAAATACAGTATTGCACAGAACAATCTCTGTTAAATGCCCCATTATCTCACTGAAGTTCCTATACGCATGCAGGGACTGAAGGAGACAGGAAGATGGCAGAAGAGCAACCCGAGAGCCACTACTGTGTCTGGGCACATCAACTACAGACTGCAAGGTAAGGACAGTATTTTATAGGAATAGAAACATAGTTACAATTCAGATTTCCTTTTTAAGTTGCCTCCTTAATTGGTTTGCAGTAGCAACAGATTCTCCCCTTTTTTCATAGCCATTCCCCAACACATATCATTTTTAAAAATCTATTAATGTTAGACAAAGCCATCACAGTGCTTCAGGAGTGACTTCAAGAAAACTCCAATCAAGTCACAGTACTCAGGCAGGTGGGTTTAATAGCCAAGTCCTAGGTAGATATCAATCCATCTGAAAGTGGGCAGTAATGTTTGAACACATCTAGGATTTCCTTTTAAACACATGCTCCAAGGAAAACAGTACTGAATTGACCAGAGGAACAGTAAAAAGAGGACATCACTGGAAGGGAGTTTACACTGCCAGTCTGGCCCTGTGGTCTGGCGCTGGGGTAGCATCTGCTCGCTTGGCCCCTGTGTCCCTCAGGGAGGTCACGGGCTCAAGAGTGCAGAACAAGTATCATCACTAGGACTGCCCAGAGCTGCTGCGAACATCCAAAAAGTTTCACTTTAAGAGTTCTTTAGGAGAAGGAAATGGCAACCCACTCCAGTGTTCTTGCCTGGAGACTCCCAGAGACGGGAGCCTGGTGGGCTGCCGTCTGTGGGGTCGCACAGAGTCAGCCACGACTGAAGCGACTCAGCAGCAGCGGCAGCAGCAGCGGGGCCCTCTTTCCGCCCCCTTCTGATGTCTGTGTCAGAAGCTGTCTCTCTCTCTTTCATACTTTAATAAATCTTTATCACACAAAAGCTCTGAGCGATCAAGCCTCGACACTGGCCCTGCACTGAATTCCTGTCCTCCGGAGGCCAAGAATCCTGCATCATTCACAGCTCAGCAGCAACTGTTCACTGCTGGGACCCACGTGGTGACAAGGCCTTGGGGCTCAGACACTTACATGCCACACGCCCTGGGTGGGTCCAGAGCCTGGGGACAAACTGTCCTCTGATCACATTTAAGAAAAACCAGGCATTTTTCTTCTGGTTATCAAAGTTCTACAAACTCATCATTTGGAGATTAAAAGAAAGCAAAAAGAAGAAATTTTACAGCACACGGTTTGATAGTCGGGGAGGCCATGTGTGTGGTGACAGGGTACATGGAAACTCTGCTTGGTTTCGCTGTGAACCTAAAACTGCCCTAAAAGATAAAGCCGAATTAAAAAAAAAAACACACACACAAAAAAAAAAAAAAAAAAAGAGTTCTTTAGAGGGCTTCCCTGGCGATCCAGTGGCTGCTCCCAATGCAGGGGCCTGGGTTCAATCTCTGGTCAGTGAACTAGATCCCATTCACTGCAAGGAAGAGTTTGCACGCCACAATGAAAGATCCCATGTGTGGCAACCAAGACCTGGTGCAGCTTACAAAAGAGAAAAAAGGCACAAAATGTTCTTTAGAAAGTGCTATAAAATGCTATGAATGATTGCTTCTGCTAAGCAAATGGTAAGAAAATATGTGTATTAGTTGCTCAGCGGTGTCTGACTCTTTGTGACTCCATGGACTGTGGCCTTCCCAGTTCCTCTGTCCGTGAAATTCTCTAGGCAAGAATACTGGAAGAGGTGGCCATTCCCTTCTCCAGGCGATCTTCTCAACCCAGGCATGAAACCCAGGTCTCCTGCATTGCAGACAGATTCTTTACCACCTGAGCCACCAGGGAAGCCCAGGAAATACGTCGACCGGAATCCTCTTAATCAAGACAGGGGCCATTAGAGAGAAAATAACTTACTCGGTTAATTTAGTTTTATTATTGCCATTCTCCTTGGGAATTAAAAAGAGGGTACTTCTGGAGAAACTGACAAAGCTGTGATTTATCTTAATAAAAGACTTCTTATGGAGATCTTGAAACCTGTTTCCGGAAAGAAATGAGTTCTAAATATATTTCTTAAGCCTGGTGGCAAAGTTTCTAATGACAGAATTCATCTCCCATGCAGCTCAATGAATCCCTGTTGTTTTTTTTTTCATTTATTTTTATTAGTTGGAGGCTAATGACTTTACAATTTTTTTTGTCATACATTGACATGAATTAGCCATGGATTTACATGTATTTCCCATCCCGATCCCCCCTCCCACCTCCGTCTCGACCCGATCCCTTTGGCTCTTCCCAGTGCACCAGGTCCGAGCACTTGTCTCCTGCATCCAACCTGGGCTGGTGATCTCTTTCACCCTAGATTATATATACATGTTTCGATGCTGTTCTCTTGAAACATCCCACCCGCGCCTTCTCCCACAGAGTCCAAAAGTCTGTTCTATACATCTGTGTGCCTTTTTCTGTTTTGCAAATAGGGTTATCGTTACCATCTTTCTCAATTCCGTGTATATGTGTTAGTATCCTCTAATGGTCTTTATCTTCCTGGCTTACTTCAGTCTGTATAACGGGCTCCAGTTTCATCCATCTCTTTAGAACTGATTCAAATGAATTCTTTTTAATGGCTGAGTAAGATTCCATGGTGTATATGTACCACAGCTGCCTTATCCATTCGTCTGCTGACGGGCATCTAGGTTACTTCCATGTCCTGCCTATTATAAACGGTGCTGCGATGAACATTGGGGTGCACGTGTCTCTTTCAGATCTGGTTTCCTCGGCGTGTATGCCCAGAAGTGGGATTGCTGGATCTTAGGGCAGTTCTTTTTCCAGTTTTTTAAGAAATCTCCACACTGTTTTCCATAGTGGCTGTACTAGTTTGCATTCCCACCAACAGGGTAAGAGGGTTCCCTTTTCTCCACACCCTCTCCAGCATTTATTGCTTGTAGACCATTTGGATAGCAGCCATCCTGACTGGCGTGTAATGGTACCTCATTGTGGTTTTGATTTGCATTTCTCGGATAATGAGTGATGTTGAGCATCTTTTCATGTGTCTTTTAGCCATCTGTATGTCTTCTTGGAGAAATGTCTGGTTAGCTCTTTGGCCCATTTTTTGATTGGGTCATTTATTTTCTGGAGTTGAGCTGGAGGAGTTGCTTGTATATGTTTGAGATTAATCCTTTGTGTGTTGCTTCGTTTGCTGTTATTTTCTCCCAATCTGAGGG